TTGCCCATGCCTCTTGCGTTCCATATAACTAAATTTATCATTATGTTGATAGTATTTATAAGTCTGTGTATATTTTTTTAATATCCTTCTGTGTATACTCAGTCATATATCTCAGTCTTCTTACGTTGTTCGCCATCCATCTTGTTTTGTCAGCTCTCTGTACCATTCTTTCTCTTTTGTGCATAGTTTCTTCCCTATCCGTTTTCTCCTTTTCTATTCTTCCCTCCGTTATATCTTCTTTTGTTTCTCGTGCCCGTTCTCTTGCATCTTCTTCTACCCTAGTATCCTCTCTTCTTGCTCTGTTCATTATTCCCCATTTATCCTTAGTGATCTCCTCCGCTCTTGTGTCAAACATCTTGTAATAATGCCTTACTTCTTCTCTCTCTCTTCCCTTCGCAATTGGCGCCGTGCTTCTCTTCAGCACTGTCATTCCTGGTCTTCTATTTCTTTCTGTCTCTCCCTGTCTGCTTTCTGTTTTTTTCCTGTCTTCTACTTGTTTTCTTACTGTGTTGTCTCCTTTTGTCACTGTCGCATACGTCTCCTGCATCGTAGGCCAGCTTTCCATATTTCTGTATCCCTCAAAGTGTGCTGTATACTTGTTCTCTTTTCCATGTACTAGTTTCTCTGCTTCATAAAACGAACAATTGTTATATGCCCTTATTGTCATTAGGTCTTTATTCCTTCTATACTCCGAGCAACCTTTGTACGTAGATTTGTGGTTATCTCCACAATTTACGCATTTCTCCAATGATTGGCACTCACCGTGCTCGTCTTGACCGCAGATTATACATTTCTCATTTGACTTGCAATTACTCTTGAAGTGACCGAACTTGTAGCACCGGTAGCACTGTCTTACCGTCTCCACATAAGGACTCACCCTGATTCGGGCCATGCTGTTAAATATGCCTAAGCTGTCCGGCATCTTTTTTCCCTTAAATAGAATCATAATGTTACTTGTGGGGATCAGGACTCTTAACTGATTCTCCTTGTTCCATACTCTCCTTCTTATCCTCTCCATTCTGACTATATTACTTCTCTCATCGAGAGCTTCGTATAGTTCAGGTATTCCATTTGGCCAATCGCGTATCACTCCCTTGCTGCTAACCTCGTGTCTGTCTATAAATGCCGTAGCGAACGGCGAGTTCTGTGGGAAGCTCTTCAAACAGTCATTCGCGTCCGTTGCATTTTTAAAAACGAGTTTAGCCGTACTATTGTTGATCATTTCCGCTTTCGACGGCCTGTATTTTGCCTTATGCAATATAAATAAACATTTGGAAAAGTTCAGTCCTTTTTTTTCAGTCATAATCTTCTTATTCAACCTGAACATTATAGAAACCTCTTCCTCTTCCGGACCACGGAATTTTCCAAAAAATTCCGCTTCCATCACCCTAGCTTTTTCCCTTTCCATTTGGTCTTCCCATGGTACCTTCTGCAGCTGTTCCTCAAAGTTGTAATACGTGGCAGCCGGTTCCTCCCTAGATGAGTCATACACCGGTTTGCCTACCCTTACAAAATTCCACGTCTCTTCATCTCCTACCCAGCCTGTGTTACTGGGTTCAATTCCTCTTTTCTTAATTCCTTCTTCTTTTTTTCCCTCGTCCTGTACCTGCCACTTTCTTTTAGTCGTCTCGTTTTTCTGCGGATCTTCCATCTGTAGGGTCCCGTCCTTCTTCGGGTCCTCCACGTTCATACCCTCCTCGTTCTTCATCTCCTAACCTAGCCGGCACCTCATCCGATGAGGGCCTCCCTTTTTAATTAATTATCCGCGCGTCTACCCTTTTTCCCCCGCGGGATTACTACACCAACTACCTCCCTTATCGTGCCTCCTATCCCGTAAAATCGTCTCAAAACACCTCCTCGTCTCTCAAATTTCACAGTCCGGACAAAAACACCCTTCTAGCCTCGCTGTCCAATCGGAACTCCCG